GAGATGGGGAGGAAGACGCTGCGAAGAAGAAGATCGCGGGTGTTTAGATTCGCGGGTAGGAAGAGGCTGCGAGGAGGAGGCTGCGCCGTGGGCTTTCTCGCGTGCGGGTGTGCGGGAGGGCGGGAAGAGGCGGGAAGAAGATCGCGGGCATTTTCGCGAGGGAGAAAACAAGCCAGGCTGCGAAGCTGCGCCGTGGGGAGGATATGACTTTCAGCTTCTCCTCCGCTTTAGCTTTCAATTGAAGCGAAGCTACACGCCAAACATCAAATTATCGCGATTTAAGGCTGCGAAGCGGCCCCAAACGGAGCCTCCCAGCTTCGCCTTACTGCTTTTTACCCTCGTGCCCTCTTCTTTGCGTTCCCCCATCCGAAAAAATTCCAGCTCGGATTCTCGTCCTCGCAGACGACGAACTCTCCCATTTTCTCTTCTTCTCCGAAGGTCGTCCTCCTCTCACGCAGCTCCTGCCGATACCCCGCTCGAAGAAGATCGCGGGCATTTTTGCGTGGGGGAAAACAAGCCAGGCTGCGAAGCTGCGCCGTGGGGAGGATATGACTTTCAGCTTCTCCTCCGCTTTAGCTTTCAATTGAAGCGAAGCTACACGCCAAACATCAAATTATCGCGATTTAAGGCTGCGAAGCGGCCCCAAACGGAGCCTCCCAGCTTCGCCTTACTGCTTTTTACCCTCGTGCCCTCTTCTTTGCGTTCCCCCATCCGAAAAAATTCCAGCTCGGATTCTCGTCCTCGCAGACGACGAACTCTCCCATTTTCTCTTCTTCTCCGAAGGTCGTCCTCCTCTCACGCAGCTCCTGCCGATACGCTGCTCCCGATCGTCTCGCGAAGCGTCAAGGCCCTTCGAAGCCTCAATCTCCTCGCACCGTAAAAGCATGAAGCTATCCTTCTCAATCTCCTTAAAATCATCCTCTTCTCGACCTACATCAAAACTTCTGCGATCTTTCAATCATACCAGCAAAGCCGCATTTCGTCACCGTCTTTGATCCCTCTGAAATTCCATCCTCTGATTCCACCGTGCAGCGTGTCATCCCCCCTATCCCCAACTCTAATCACCGGTCTAACACGAAGAAGAAGGATCTCCCTCTTCCTACTGCTGATGAACAATCAGCCGAATCCCGATTTGTGCTCAACGCCTCTGGTAGCGGCTCATCCGAAGCCAGTCAATACGGCCTGATGCTTCGCTCAAATGGCACGAAAGCCAAATCCCTAAAAGGTAATGATGCTCGTTTGTCTGAGAAGATGAGATATCGGGAACTGATAAAGGATTTGCCATATGAGGAACTCCCTGATGTCCCCGTTGAGGGTTTTGGGGCAGCTAACTTAGCTGGGTACGGATGGGTTGAGGGAAAGCCTATTGGTCGAAACAGTAAGGAAGATCCAAAGGTTTTTGAGTATAAACCAAGGGCTGGGACAGAGGGGTTTGGTTACTCGCCGACTTTAGGGAAGAAAACCCAGAAGGAGGAGGTTGCAGTTGGATTTAAATCAGCTAATGTGAAGAATGACTATATTGATGATCGGGATAAAGGGAAGTTTGATAGTAGAGAGAGGAAGAAAGCGAGCAAGGATAGAAGGTCTGAGGAAAGAACTAAGGAGGAGAAAAGAACAAAGTATGTTTTCACTACAACTGCAGAGAAAAGTGCAGTTCGGTGGCTGAGAAGCCATATTAGGGTCAGAATAATTAGTAAAAAAATTGGAGGGAAGCTCTATCTAAAGAAAGGCGAGGTGGTGGATGTTGTTAGCCCTACAACTTGTGATATCAAGATGGATGAAAGCGGGAAGCTTGTGCAGGGGATCGATCAAGAGATTCTAGAGACTGCTCTTCCAAAGCGTGGGGGTTCAGTGCTTGTTTTGTATGGTAAGCATAAGAATGTGTATGGGAGTCTGGTGGAGAAGGATTCTGAAAAGGTGACAGGGTTGGTAAGAGATGCAAATAGTCATGCTTTGATTAATGTACCGCTTGAGCAGATTGCTGAGTATGTTGGAGACCCTAGCTGTCTTGGTTATTGAATTTTGAAGAGAGTAGTGGTTGCCAAAAACAAACCAGAAGTAAGTCTTGATTCTTGCAGTTTATTCAGTAGATGTATCCATAGAAGACATCGGATTTATGTTATCATTGTGTAACATCTAATTATATTTAATACTTTTCTTGAAATTCTTGTTTCTATATTATTCGCTTGTTCAAACAAGAGATGTTTTTTGGATGCATTTGCAAGAAAATAATGACGGGGTAGATTAACTGTTTTTTCTTAATTTCCTTAAATCCCCGTACTTAAGAAGTAGAGATTTTTACCTTTTGATTCTGTTGAGTAGTCAGAGCGAGTTTAATGATTTAAGAGTGCAATTAGAACAATTAGTTCTTTGACTTGAAGCTACATTATTGTATTTAAATTCGTTGAATCTTTGCAATGGGTTTGACCTAAAAAAAACTTGGATTATTATACAATGGAACTTTGATAGGGTTTACCATCCTTCGTAGCATCCATTTTGCATGACACACTTCAATAAGGAAGCCACATTTTCAATTTCATTCATCATCAACAGAAAGAAAAAAGAGAACTTTTCAAAATCTGTAAGTATCTACGCGGCTTCCTCTACGCGGTGCGGCTGGAGGCCGCGATTTGGCAGTGTTTGGCGCGGCATTTTGCTCGCCGCAGCCGCGAATCCGGTCGAAACGCTGACCGCGGATGAGACCTCGCGGCCCACATTATCGCTCCGCTTTTTACTCTCGTACCCTTAATTTCACTTTTGTTAGTTCTCCCTCGTTTTGCCCCGCGCCCCGCCGGGAGGAAGGAGAAAGTTAATGGTACTACTGGTGGATGGAGGGTCGTCCGATCACTCTCAATATCCAATGATTTCCTCACCCCATGTCGCTCACAGGTACCGTTCACCCCTTCCCCCTCTCTCGCATCAGCTCTCCGCTCAACTCCGCTGTCATCTTCTGTCTCCCACTCTCTTGCTCTTCTTCTCCAAAGTAAAACGATGTCTAATTGCATTCTTCTTCTTCTTCTTCTTTTAAAAAGGAAAGTAATTTTAAGTTTGAATAATGATCTGTGATTTTGGACTATATTAGGAGAAAAACAAAGGAAAAAAAGCTGAAGCGGCTGCAGGCAAAGAGCTCTAAGATGAAGGTATGTTTTTGGTAGTTTCATGATCGGATGATGTGATTCTGATTTTGCGCTCTGCATTGTTGCAGTTTACTAAATTTCCCTTTCTCCAGATCTGCCTACGATGTTTTGTTTCAGAAGGTTCCGACTGCAATTTAATCTGTTAGTTTAGGTTTATTGGTATTCACTTTGAGTGTTGTGAATACACATTATATTGTTGTTCTACATGTAATAGTTTGCTTGGCTGATTTGATTATGCTGCCCCACAAAGAAAATAGATTACAACAGCTAATTCAAGAGAGAAGTAACGAATAAAATTATGGAAATTTTTCATGGGTTTAGTTGTTTTATTGATAATTGGCGCATTATACATACTAATTGTGTTATGTATTTAAATGCCCCTAATAATTTTTTCGATGCTTTAGCTGCGTTCCCGAAGATAAAACAGTTGATATCAGAGGTCAGTATTTTATGAAATTGAGATTTGAATCTGGGATAGCTAGAGGGAGTTTGTGATAAAGTATTTCATAAGAACTTGTGCCTTAATGATAAACTTCTTATAAAAATATTTATAGAATATGTCTCACTAATTTTTTGTTGTTATTAAAAATAATGAAATTTGAATTGAAACTTCTTATTGCTGACAAATATTAGTTATTATGCTATTATTGAAGTTTGTTTTTATTCATTCTCAATCTACTGAATGAAGTTTGTAATAGTAAATTATCTATAGAGCAAAATAAAATCATATCATTTCATTAATAAATAAGAGATGGTGGAGATATTTGGGGAGAAGCAAATTAGAGAATGATTGCCGTCTGGGCAATCATTCTCGTAATGAAATACGAGGTTATATCGATCGATAGATAGATAGGTCGATAGATATAGAGTAATTTGGAGTGTTTTGTGTGACTTGTTGGATTTTATGGTCATCATATTGTAGATAATAAGAAAGAGGGATGGTGTTCGTTTTTATTAAGTTCTTCCAATCTCATCGATTTCTTGAGCTTAACTTGTTAAGTTTGTTGTCTCAATATTTAATTTAATGTACTGTGATTGAGATCATAAGTAGATACCATTCTTATTTTGAATAGTAGGTTTTGGTGGAAATTTAGTTGTCTCAAAATAATGATGCTAGAAGCATACCACAAGTGCCTGAGTTTCCAGCGAGTCTGCTTTCTGGTCGATGGTACATTCTTAATTTGGTTGATTTCCTTAGAGCATGAATCAAAAA